CCCACTTTCAATTTTTTAGAATTTATACAACTTTGAAAACTGGAACAAACTTAGACAACTTAATGAATGTAATCTAGCAGTTCTAGGCTTCTTCTCAACTGGTGACTCTCGTGTTCCGGGTAATCTTGGATTATTTGATATGGCAGCAGCCCTTAAGGCAAGTTCCTTATTTCTTTGCTAGGATAAGGAATAGGGAAACAATACAAAATTACCGATGTTTTAGTTTATCTATGAAAACGCCCAGAACTTTGGAGGCGATCGTTCACGTATTACTGTTTGGGGATTAAGTGCAGGAGGTGCTGCAGCTGGTCAGCTAGCTATAAGTCCTGTCACAAGAGGTAGGTAAAGGTTGAGCTATCTCTCTTGAAAATACCCTAAGTTAAAGCGATATCCATAGATTATGTTGCCAACTCAATAGAGATGTCTGGCTCACCATGGGTATTTTGGGCTGTAGGGCCAAATGTGCGGAAGAACTCGTTGGAACTTGCAAAGGTAAGTAATTTTGGTTGGGAAACTTTCGAAAAATATGGAAAGAAATCCTGGAGCAATGTCAATTACACCATTTAAGGAATTAAACTGCACTGGTGATAATCTCAAAAGCTGCATGAAGTCTAAAAGCGTGGTTGAAGTGTACGATGCGGTCATTAATGTGGTAAGTTCACTCCCCAAACTTTTTGAATACAAGGAATTCCGATGATTTCAAGTAAACGGCTATTTCAGGGTTATACTCAATCCACACTTGATAGTGGCAAATGGGGACCAGTTCTTGATGGTGAATTCTTGACTAATCCAGACGAGATGGTCACAACCGCTCCTCCGAAGCCCGCAATGTTGGGAGTTAGTAATAAGGATGCAACGTTCTTCAGTGAGCATCAAATCTAATATAGATAATACAAAATTATGGGGAAAACTTTTTTTGGTGAAATTCTCAAATTTCTATTGCAGCAATCAAATGGCTGTCTCCATACATCCATATGTTCGGCTTGAGCCCTGCGGATTTTAAGAGGTTTGACAAAAACAGCATGGTCGATTTCCTAAAAGTGGGTGTT